ACAGATGGCGCGGCGTTTCAACCGCATTTTTCGATACAATTTCAACGCAATTGTTTCCGATCAAAGGGTCAACATTTTTGGGGGATTGGACCAAGAAAATTTCAGAAATACGAATTCCTGCACTATGGCGCCTAAGGCGGAAAAAACTGTTCGATACAATGATCCTTAAGACTAATTTTTTGGACGAAATTTCACATTTTGTTGTTTTTAGACCAAAACACATATTTTTCTGAAGTGGAAATTGCACTTTTCAGAAATTCATTTTTTCCGTGCGAAAATTTATCATCCGGATTTGGGCTCATTTATTCATTCATTTCTGTTTATATGTGTATAGAAAGAGCTAGCTTCATTTCACGTCCAAACGCTAAAATAACGCGCATTTTGTGGAGGCAACATTCCACGTTTATGCTCTTCCGCATAGTTTCTACGAACGCTTGCGATTCTATATTTCAGCTATTCACAGAAGCTGTCTTTTTACTCATCGCTTAAGTGGGGCATCAATGGGTCCGTCCTATGGAAAGTGTCGAATGTTGCTGTATGGAAAGCTATTCGATGTTTGAGCATAAATGTTTGTGTGAGGTTTACGATCGACCACTAGCCTGTGTACTAGCCTAAGACCGAGCATGAGCTTGAGCTTCAGCCAGCCCCAACTTTTGAGTTTTCGACATCGTTCCGTTAGCATACAGCAATTATCACACTATAGAATTTGTTGTAGATCAGCAATTGATGACTGCAATGTGCAACAATGAAAATCACGCAATGATGAAAAGGTCATTTTCTGAGACGTACAATCAGTTAATAAACTTCTTTTGTACTCCTCCATTAGTCGTTTTTTTCAGAAGTACGATTAAAACACCTGGATTTTTGTGGTGAGATGGTCTGATGTTTTGCTGCTTCTTTGTCCAGCAATAAATATTACACAAAAACGAAAAGATCACTTTTTTTTGGACAGATAATTTGGAAATAAATTTCGTCACTCTTCACCGGCCAAAATGAATTCCGCTACTTCACCAGTTTTGATACTATTTTAGGGAATCTCATTCGAGTGACACGAACTTCACAAAGGATAAAGAATGTCTAATAGGATACTTCGTGTGAGAGGAAGTAGTGATGATAGTAGAGTCTATTCTGAAAGTCGAATAAGTTACACAGTTTTTGGTCCAAAATCAACAGAAATCACTTTAAAAATTGATAAAAGCGAATAAAATCCAAGTTCTTTTTGATGTGATGAAGGAGTGTGTCGTTATTGCAAGCAATGTAACAGCTACATGAGGCTACTCAATCATTAGCAACTGCATTTTTTATACGCACGCACTGTACGACCCATCATAAGTGACAGCTCGCCAGTAAAATTTGCTGTTTGTGAACAATAATTGATGACCACTATCGCTCTTATAATATTTCTGCTAAAGGCACGGGAGTGTACTCAACAGAATTTCTCACTGAAAATCCAAAACGATCTTCAATGGCTATTTTTTTCTTCGAAATTTGATTCATTTTGAACGAATCATTTGAATGATGCTCACTCGTAAATCCACAGTTTCACATTCTGTTATCAATACCGTAACCTCTGTAGATGAATGTGCAGTTGGTGTAGCCTTTCATATGCAAGTGCTTCTTATTTGATACAAGCAGTCAGATAATGAGTGCAAGCAGCTTTGTACAGTTCTGTTTTATTGAGTTGGCTGCTTTTAGATTATTTTTAACTGATCGGTTGAGTGAATTCATAACACTTCAAAAAGTGATGAAGACTGCGAAGAAGCATCACTTTTCAACAGCATTTTCTTAGTCTTTGTGTATTTTATTCAAACCAAAGCTATTGCCAGATGGATGGCTGTAACTAGTGTCATGGAACTATTCAACAGAAACATTACTAAAAAGTTGTTTCCACGTTGCTTTTCTTCGTTTTCTTTTCATTGGAGGTCAACTCAGAAACTCCTTCTCCCACCTACTCGCTTGTCCGACGGTTGTTCGTGATGAGTGACAATCAAATTGATCCACTAATTTATTATTCATTCACCACTTCATTTATCTCGTAATCCTTAATTAAACTTCTGCAAGATGTTGTTCAGTGAAAACACCTCTTGATCTGATTGTGATCAACTTCATGGTTTTGCTTACTGTTTTTTTTTCTTGCGTTTGACATGCGTTTAACAGACGAGATGGATATCAGCTAATATAATTATATATCTGAATCATTCAAACACAACATTTCCACCATTCGTCTTCCCAAGATCATTTCCGACTGAGCTTTATCGCATAAAACTGAACATTCAGACATTATTCAACTTATCGCCGCACAACAAAAACTATCCTTAAAACATGATTATAGCCTGAGCCAACGTTGGTTTGTGTTCAAAGCTAAATCTAAAACGTCATTCTCAAGGCTTGCGAATTCGAAAGTGTTCGAGAGGTAGTGAGAGTTCTTTCCGTTGATTATTTTTTGAGTGTGCACTGTCGTATGTAAAAGTCGAACTAATGGATGCTCATTCTCACAACTGTTTTGAATATCCCTATTAAAATGTGCTTTAATGTGAATATTAAGATGGGAAACAACCACACGAGCGATATCATAACAGACACATAAAAAATTCGAGCAAATGGTAAGTAGTCGTTGTACAGTCGGGAAAGCATTCAACCTCATAATTTTTTTTTCATTTGTTCAATTCTCAAATGCAAAAACATCACTAGATTCAGCCATTTTTTGAGCAACTATGAATGAATAATATGGAGAAAATATGTATCAAATCAATTTGTTGCTAAGAAATTTGATATCATTGGTTAAGCGTGATGTACTGTTAAATATTTCGAGGATCAGGAATTGATATTTTCAGCTTGTACTGCTATAAAAATGACAATTTTTGAAGCATAATAAGAATTAGACAAATAGGTCTATGAAATGAAAATTCAATCTATTCCATTCGAAATTTTCATATCTTTTAAACATATGCTCTTGGGGCGATAAACACCACGGATTGCGATTAAAAAAGTCTAGTTCAGACAATAAGAGTGGTGATTAGCGTTCGTACAATCAGCGTAAATCTAAAGTACCGACGATCTTTCCATGATGCAAATACGCACCATTGACTGTGAAATAGGGCAACACACCCTCACGAATTTGGGTTGTTAAAGTTACTAACACGTGCCCCTATTAATTTTAAAGTAAATTGAGTGCCCTATTAGCAGTTGTGAACATCAAACAGATCGCAATATTTGGACATTTGAACAGGTGGAAATTACATTCGCAGTGAGCGGATCGATGAAAACATGGACAGCAAATAGTGAAACGAAGAGTAAAATGAAAAGCAGTGAGTCAGTCCACTTAATCAGAAGCAACGAGGTACAAAAGTCATGAAGCGATGATTCTTTTGAAAGTCTGCTGACTGATTCAAGATAATTCGCACGATTTCATTGTAATATGCTGCTTTAATGTGCTTCATGATGAACTGCACGATAAAATCATCTAGAAATTGAGTTTTCTTTTCTCAGATCGTTGCCAGTCCAAGATTCCTGCATGTAGCAACAAATGAATGCAACTTATTCTAACGTTTTATGTTCGTCTCGTTGAATGCTCACTAGCAGTAGAGTCAGTCTTAGTAGTTTCCAATAGTAGCGTTGTAAAGCACTACAAAAAAATGCATAGTGCATATTATTGTAGAGTTCTATGTAAGCAACGGATTCAGAAGCAGTTCAGATTTATGGCAAGCAACAAAGCTCAAAAGGAACTTGTCAATAATGCGCTTTCAATGAAATCACTTCAAAAGAGAAGGATTGTTCAGTCACGACAAACACATGCATTTCGATTGTACCTCTGGGATCGCTCAAGCCATTTTCGCGCACTCCACAAGTTTTCACTCATCGATTCATCATGCATCATGGTTTTCGTCATGCTCTCGACGATGTTCATCAGATAACTCAAAACATTTGTCCAAAATTTTTGGAAGATAGTGAAACTTGAAGAGAACTTCAATCGATAGTTGAGAACATCATTACAGAACAAATCTACGTTGAACTGCATCAGTCATAAGCAACTCGTAGGTAACCTCAAAAATCATTAGTTTTGGAAGCATAACAATTTTCATCTACAAAATGCGATACCACGCCAGTTTTTACCTCATACAAGTCTTGTTTATTTATCATTGGAAAGGTGTTCTGTAGGCGGGATTACGGATAACTGGCGAAGAACGTTGTTCAGTGTATAAGCTAAACCATCGCGAGTTCTAATATTACGACAAAATCTCCTATTGTATCTACGAAAATCGCATGGAATTTCGTTGTGCATAATACGAGATTCGAGAAGTTGAATAAATGAGGAAAAAAAATCGATCATCCACTTTTTGGATATTTCTATTTCAACAGTTACGAAATGTAGCGTTCAGTTAGTGGTGTTAGGTACCTGTGAATTTCATAATATATAACGTGAGTAGTTAGTTGGCGATTTCTATGCACTATGCAAAGTTGAGATTGTGTTTCGCTGAAGAACGATAGAACGTCTTTCGGAAACGATCGTTTCTTTTTCAGCGAATATGGATCAAGTGGACACAGAAGTTGTAATTGACGATCTGTATGAACTTTCTATCTACGAACTGGTAGTACTTACCTGCTCTTCTGATTTTTCATTTCTTTATTTTTATTTCATTTTCAATTCATGTTGGCAACGAAATGTGTTATTTCACAATCATTGATGCGGTAACAATCGATTCTGTTTATTTTTCGATATGATAACGAAGTAAACGTTAAAGGCTTTTATGCAATCGCGAACTACCTCACTTTTTGATCGATAATCTTGGGGATACAATTTTGCCCAAGTTTCTAAAGCAAGGATCTGCATGAGGTGGATGGTTTTGTTGATACAGATGAGGTGTAAATTTCGCGAAATGAACACGATTTAAAGAATAAGACTACCGAATCAGTATCTACGCTCGCTCAAATATCTTCGAAGAACCCTTTTAAGCACCATTCGGTACAGTCTAATGGGCTTTTGCGTCAATTGAGAGTGAATGAAATTTTTGATCGGAGGGGAGACCTATCAAAGGTTTATTGAAGGCGAGAGAAATTATTGAAGAGCACATTACAGATTTATGAAATTAACATAGCCGTTTCAATGATTTGATGTTAAGGTGTTTTGGTGTGTTTTGTATTCCATAATCGCTCTACTTGCCGTTCTTGGCAATGCACTTGTTATCTGGGTTACTTTGAACCGTTTGGATAAGAGTGCTTCGATAACAAATATTTTCATTATCAACTTAGCATTCAGCGATTTTATGACTGGATTGTTTGCAATACCCTTCAAATTTCAAGCCGCTCTTTTTCAGGTATTTGTTACATTTAATATATCTGAGTGTTTAAGACAATAAAATGTGTCTAAAAAGAAGCAACTTCATTTCGATCGATCGCTGTTTCATGTAATTCTTTCGGGTTGTGTATAGCCTCATATCATCATGATTTCATTGCTTTATTGTTTTCTTTCAGTGGGGAATTTTGAAGGGAAACTGGATTATACTGATGAGAAAGTTGGCTTTCGAACAGCGAAACGTTCAGTTGATTAATTTTAGTTATGTGGAATAGTGATCGTGGCCAACCGAAGTTCGGTCAGTAAATTCCGACAAATTTCAGTCGGAATTCCGAGATTCGGATCCCGACCGAAGAATTGTGAAGTACGATCGAAGTACCGAATTTCGGAATCTTAAAGTGTGAATTCTATCGGATTCCGATTAAACTGGAATTTCGTTCGGATGCCATCAGTACTATGGAGTTATTAGTGATGGTATCCGAGCGAAATTTCATGTCGATCGAAATCCTACCAGCATAACTTTTCATCATTCTAGCAGTCGGAATTCCGATCGACTGTCGGAACGGATCGTTCGGAGTCCGACCGATTTGGCATTTTGAATTTCCGAATGTCGGAATTCCGACCGACATCGTCGGATGCCATCACTAGGAATTGTCCATTAAAATTGAATATCCACTACATCGATATAATTTTAGAGATGGTTTCTTCCACATTTTCTGTGTCAACTGGTACCCTTTATTGAAACAGTTTCATTGAGTGTTTCGGTTTTCACATTAACTACTTCAGCGGTGCATGAATTTCGTACCTTTTTCCTACCGAAAAACAATCGAATGAACTCTCGTACCTGCAGGTGAAACCGTTTTGAACTGGATTATTCAGCGCTGAACTCAGCATATTTATCCGAATTAAATCGCCTCTTTGAAAATTCAGCTTTCTTAATAACCACTTCATTTATTTTTTTTGCGATAAAACCGACTGAATTTCTAACAAACTTCTTATGAACCCATACTGGAGCCATAATTTGATGTTCTCAGTATGCATATTACCGTTTAAATATACTTGTTTCAACAAAATGTATACATTCACTTATATATATTTGATCGGTTAAAACAATTTCGATAATTTTTCAGAAAACCGAACAATCTGACAATATTCGTGCTTCAGTTGTAATTTTTTGCATTTCAGAGTACTCGTCTCTGCAATATGGCTGATTGCAGTAGCAGTAAGCTTACCACAAGGATTGTTCCACGAAGTTTTCGAATACGAAAACGGTGAAAATGCCATAATCTATCAGGTTCGCTTACGCTGTTTAAGCACCAACTGGGCTTACCCACATTAATGAAATCCAAATTTCGTGCGATTCGCAAACAGTATTGAGATCAGTACAAATTTCATGTCAAAAACTTTCACTCCATTATTTTTATCCATGGATGAAAGTCACCGACAAACAACATATTAACTAACATTCAGCTTGCATCGACATTTACAATAATAATAAAATAATAATAATGTAATAATAATACTACTATTGTTATTATTAATAACGTGATTATGGAATGCCTAATAAATACCAGAAAACTAATCGACCATTTAAAAGATCATTTTAAGAGTACAACAGAGCACTTCTTCGATGCACTCCGAATGAATCGCTCTCGCACCGTATTGCATAGTTTGAGAATGCGCAATTTGTCAGCAATGAAAATATTCGAAAGACTAGACACGTTCGTCATTTAATGAGTTTCTGTAATGCAATAAATTGCAGTGTCGGCCAGTTTATGCTGATGAAGATTGGTGGAAAGTATACAACATATATTTAACAATCATTCACTACTTCGTTCCACTTATCATTATCGATTCGGCTTATTCAATGATCGCATTCCGGGTGAATTTCACTTGAAACTTCAAGTAGATGCATGTCTTTAAAATGCGTCGTTTTTTTTTTTTTTCAAAATTTAAAACTGCAATAAACTTATAAGAACTGCATCTATAACGTTGCTAACAACAAACTCATCAAGTAGACACTGATTGTTATGTAGCTTTATAACAGGTGCACGAGAATGCCCACCTTTAAGATGTTAACAAGCTGATATTCATTTAAAAATTTAGCGAACTGAAGTTAGGTACTCAACTCATTTGAGCCTATAATTATCAGCGTCATGACAAAATATTACCTCAACTCTGCTTCTTTGATGTGTTCCTGAATTTAAACACAATCACCTATAGTGTTAGGATAGCAGATAAAGGTTCATCGAACACGGTTTTATGTGATGAAAGCGCATCTTTCAAAAAAGAGGTAACAGTATGGACGAAAAAACCTCATCTTCATTACTGAAACCAAAAGTACCCAGTAGGCACTGATGGGTTAGTGGCTTCACAGTGAATTGGTTCGATGCAAAAAGGAATGACGAATGCAGATAAAGGGTTAAAGTTAGAAAAAAGTGAACTCTACAAGAGGACGTTGTCGTATATGCGCGTTTAATTAATTTCGAATTTAAACGATCGAAAATTGCTCCACACCCATTCTGTACAAATTAATGACGTTCGCTGAATGATGAAATTACCGATGGTAATGAAACTTGCGCATAATTTTCGGTAGATTACGAAGAAAAAGGTTCAGTTTACGAACAGATAATTGAACTTTCTTTTTCAGATTTGCAATACGGCACTGAGAGAAAACAGTGACCATCAAGCTGATTACACTCTTGACATTTCAAATCGCCACGTACGTCTCTTTCATATTATTGTGAAGGAAAACATAGTTATTCAAACTTATTTTTTTGTACAGCTAGAATGAATGGACCTAAGTCGGTTAATCCAAAAAAAAAACAAATTGTTCAGTTAGCAAAAGCATTTCAGTGTTTTTGCGCGATCATTTCAATGACCGAAATCGATCAGACGAGTGTGTTATTGATGAACAAAAACTGAAACATGCAATTCAATATTCAGGAATCGACGGTTGATTGCCAATAGGTTACACGCTATGCAAGACGATTCTCCGACAAGAACTTCTCGCACTGATTCTTCTTAGCACAATAGGCAATCGGATAGATATGACTAATTTTAAAATTATTTGCGCTAACTAGGACTTTAATCTGTAGTTTTATGAATGTAATTTAAGAAAAATTTGTCAACAAAAACCAAGCAGGCAATGAATATGGAACAGTGACAGTACAAGCTAACTTCATCTATGTAGGGCTAAGCCTAATCTTAATCATTAGCATGAGACTAGATTTCGGGCAATGCCTAAGCCTAAGTCTAAAGCGTGTTTAACTGGATAGATATGCGGTGCGACCCAGATGGATTTAGTGGGTGAAACGAGTGAATTTCACAGATGACTAAACCAAGTAAACAGTTTCCAATTACAGTTAGTGAAAATGCTCGCAATTGTTGTGGCCGTGTTCAGCCTATGTTGGTTTCCTCTTGAAACATATTTACTTCTCAACGAAGTTCAACCGCAAATCAATGAGTGAGCAGCTACTATCGTAACTATAGTATACCTCATTTCATTCACTTTTTGAAAGTTCATTTGAAACTTTACCGTCAGTTCTTTGAATTTTGTAACGATGCATTCACAGGTGGATGGGACAATACCACCATCCTATTCGGTCAAATCAAGAAAGCGGTATTTCAGATGGCGTTACATAAATGTGCTCTTCTTTTGTTGCCATTGGCTGGCAATGTCAAATTCGTGTCTTAATCCAATCATCTATGGTCTCTATAATGTAAGTGCTCAGAATATCTGCGGGAATACTTGTGAATGAACTGATAAATATACAACCTTTGCACAAGTGAACAGAGCTCCTCGAATAAACTCTTGAAGCATGATTGGAATACAAAAGAGCCCACTCCCTTGTTTTCAGCTGCACGCCAAATTATTCTGATTTGTAAGGACAGCTGATAATGAAAAAAATGACCCATTGTAAATTGCAGTAATTCTTTGCAGCAGTAGCACACTGCATGGAAACGATTGATGTAAAAAAAGAACCAAAAAAGGCTCCATTTCGTTTTTTTTTCACTCGTTTAGCAATCGATCCATTCGATTAGTTGCACTCGATTCAAAAAAAATAGAAAATTGCTTCATAAAATGAGCGGAATATTTCGTGAAATTCAGAGAAAGGAAATGAAATGTTTTTCAAGGATAGATATAAACGAGAATATAAACGAGTGGTGATGCTTTTACGCTGTATTAAACTGGATGATGATTCGGATGAAGACAGATTCCGAAATAAACGCGAATCGTTAAACAATACGAACAACCGTCCGAATAAACACCATGATGGCATCTCAAAGCATATAAAATGCAATAAGCAACAACTCGATGGATCTTTAGCACATAATAAATGTACTGCAGTTGATTTGTGACGCAATATGATCAGCTTTCGACCATATAATTCATTTCGTTTGTCACTTCTCATTCATTTTATGGATCAAGTTTAAACCATCTGACCATGACAATATTGTAATATGCGTGAGGACAACACATTTGTGATGTTCAGCACGGTATTTTGATTACTATACGATATATATGATCGATTGCTCAGTTGCTCAGTGAGCTCAATGAGACACTTACTTGTCAGTTGACGTGTTAACGCTTATGTTTTGAATACTTTTAGTTCTTCGAATAAACATTTTCTTGTGGAATACATTTTCATTTGCTTGCAATTTCACTTGATTTCATTTGCTTACAATTTCACCGAGAACTGGAAAATTCCGATCTCGTATAAAACCCTTTTTGAAGAGCATTTCGAAAATCGTCATCACTTACCGTCAAATATGCTTCATGAAAATTCATCTGAATGATGCAATCCCAAAATACAGAACTTCTTCAATTAACCTTTTGCAACTCCTCATCAAACACTGTAAATGTGTGACTGCAACGTGTAAATGTATGGAGTGGACCGTACCTCTCCAAACGGCCGTATGTGCCTCAGAGGAAGTCCGCTATTTAAATCCAGGATGAGCCTCATTTACCCTGAAGTTGTTGAATGAATTCCACTCGTGCCATTTCAATTTCTGCCGACTTTTTGCCAAAATCGGTAAGCGGATGTTTTTGAAGATAGTAACTCACAAAACACCAAGTTTTATGCTATTATATAAGCGACAATATGCTTAGAAATGAAAATATCAAACAGCAAGGAGCCAAACGATGAATACAATAGTATAATTACGCACATGCAAATAATTAATCGACTGATTGCACTAATAACGAATTCTAGCCGCTGAATAAACACGAAAAACGGAAGAAAATCGTTCGATGAGATGATTTTGAATACAGATAGTTGAATAACAGCTGCCTGTTAGTGATAAATGCAGTCTGCACTGATATCAACTGGATTTTTTTGGTGACAATGAAGTATACTCAAACGTCTTTGAATTGAACCGAATAATATTATGAGTTTCTAAGCGTCCATAAACAGCGATTTAGCACTGATGAGTGAAAGAGAGAGATATACAAGATGATAATTAAAGGGGATGAGATTTATAGCACACTGATGTGGCAGTTTTTCAATGGATGATCAGAAAGCAAAATTTCTAACGCGAAAAATGATAGTTCGAATGTGATGAATGTATAAAATGAATCAATAAAGGTGACAAGTAATTAACTGAAACAAAAACGCACACAATCAGTGATTTCCAGCATTTGCACAATAAGCAAATAAACAGATGGAGCAATAAGACGAACATTTTGTTATGATTAATGATCAAATCGAATGTATAATTGATCCAATTATATAAAAATTCGACGTTATGCATTTTAGCTTCGTTGAGATAAACTTTAAAACAAAAGCATTCATCCTCTGCAACAATTCATTTACGTGTCATTAACGAACGAGTGCTGCTTCATTCTAGAACGACGCTTGTATCGGTATACCAATCGAATACTAACGGAGTTACTGCGGCGTATTTATTTTCTGGTTTCACTGCACAACACTTTCACGATGAAATCATACGACAGAAATAATCCTAAGTTTAAGAAGAACTCTACTAATGAAATGATGCCAATTTGAGACTGTAAACGTTAGACTACAACCGTAAGTGAAACGATTGGTGAACCACACTGAAAGTGTATGGCATGTTGATGAAAGCTCAAGGATTATTTCCGTTACCGTAACAAAACGAGTAAAAAGATTAGTGGTAGGACAAGCATCGAAACGCTGGCTATCGTCGATCCACACCTGAAATTAATTATTAGTGCTTCTCAATACTGGTCTAGAATAACGCATTTGTTCTTGCAAACGAAACCATCCACTGTAACTTTTAAAGATATGATCAGTTTCAAGCTTACGTTTGTCCGGCAGGGCATTTCTTTTCGCATATCTCGCCGTAAAACGAGTCTTTGCATTCGCACCTGCAGATAGTTTTCATTAGTTTAACACATCCTTACACTTACACTCTATAAAATTCAGTTTCGACTACCAACGGCTTTTATTCAATTCGAAGCACTATTCTACATCAAAATTTATTCAGGCTCATGAATATTTGTACACAAGGCTGTAAGTAACACTGAGTATGACTGGATGAATTCATCCAAAACCGTCTCGAATAAAATCCGGCAAAAATTGATGCATCATTAAACAATGTATTATAGTTATTATGAAATATCTTCACAACTAAAATGTTGATCATTGGTGAAATCTCTAGGTGTACACGTATGATGTATAAGATAGACGACGAGTTAGGAACTCTTTATCAATAAGATTTAATTCGTCACAAATAGTGTCTTTTTTTCGATCCATTTCCAGAATTCATAAGTCACTGCCGTTTTCCTGATTTCAACTGCATCTTCAAGTTACGTATTTTGCACCTGTTTTCAGAACCGATCCTATCTAATTACCCAAATGTTTTTTAGTCAGTAGTGTGGCGTAGCAGTCTGATGGTAGTTTCAGTCAGCAAAATACCACGGCAAGAAAAATCCCAAAGAACGCGGTCAATTTTTTGTCAATAATCCGGAAGAATGAATTATGTCCGATTAAGCTCGTTTGCGTTTTTGCATTCTTCAGATGCTAAAGTTTGATCGACACATAACGTTTATCAGCGTATATTGCACGTACTGCTGATTATTGATCAAAATCATTGCGAAATAGTGAAAAAATTTCAAAATGAAATATTCCCCCAACCGATATTCACATCAAGTAACTCGGCTGGATGGTGAATAAACAAATTAATTACGATTCAAGTACTGAATACTGAAATAAACTAATAATAACTTATGAAAGGAAACTGATGACGAACTCAGCAACGTAATAAATCAACTGAAAAGTCAACTGAGTATAGCTTTTTCAAGTTGCTGAGATCTCTAAATGTAGTTGAAGTGATGTGAATGCCAATAATATTATATTTCGTGCTGAACAGCGATAAAACGATGGATAGCATAAGATTGCGTGGCTATTCTCTGATGAAAATAATGCGCAAGTCGGGTTGGTGCACTGCTCAAAACATAACTGCTGACTGCGCCGAAAGTCGTTTAAGCCAAGAATGTAATTGAACCCGAAACAAAATACGCAGAAGGATATCATATGGACAACGAATTGAAGAGTTCGTATAGTTGCGATTACGCGCTGACAGTTGAATTCAATGCGTTCATATGGTATGCTTGTTGTAGATCGTACTTATTCAAAAAGCATTTCCTCACCTAGCTGAATAACACACGAGCATAATATAAAGAGGTATAACAAAGACACCATTGCAGTTGTCAGCTCACAGTGAGTGCAACAATCATTTTTAATTAAATACGGCAGCTGTCAGTTTGCGAACTGAAAATCTTCTCTGAAGCGTTTTTTTTTTTCAACATTGGGAAATGTATGAAAAAAGTTCATAAGAGTGAAAATCATGGATGAATCGACGCCTTCATTACATAGTATCAAAAGCATTTCATTAATTGCAACACACGTGCTCACTGACAACTGCAAAATTCAGGCCAATGATGTCATGTCAGCTATTTCAATCTCAACTCTGCATTGCATAATCAACAATTCAACTCGTTATGATGCAGCTGCATGTTAAATGTTCACGCTCATCAAGCATGAAAAAACAATCATTCGGACATAATTATCATTGATTTTGGGACTGAAAATGGAATGAAAACCTAAATTCAATTACGTGTGAATAACTAGATGAATTTTTGACGACAGCGTACACCAAGAAGCCCATTTTTCTAGCGATAGTAAACAATTCAAAACATGAAATCAAAAAAAAGTGGATCAGTTGATTTGGTTATAAAGGCTGATTTGAGGTATCTTAAGTGAATTCTAATTCCTGGAATGTGACAAAATGAATTACTACTTAGGTTTGAAATCAAATAAGCGTGAAAACTCGGGAAATTTTCTCGATGAACTTTCTGGATATTTGCTGGAAAAAAAAGAAGAAAATATTCCGCGAGCGGGATGAAACTAACCTTCCATCAATCAACTCGCCATCATTTTTACACGCAACCACCTTGTCACAATTTTCTCCGTCATATTCATCAGCACAACGACATTTATCACGCGCATTTCTCCATCGACGTTCATGCTCTAGATTAATCATTCTGTTATAATATTATTACTGCACAATGCACTCAATAATCTCCCCCCACCTAATTAACGCCAATACTGCCTTGAGTTTAACGTCACTGAATAGCTTATTCTGGCATTTTGCTCAACACCTACATCTCATCATCACATGAAACATTCCTCTGTAGCACTCGATTCTATCATCACATCCACAAACTGAATGCACGCTAATGATAACAACAACGGACTAGGCACGATTGTTTCCAATGGTGGGAGAGAGCAAAATGGTGCAGTCCAAAAAATAACTGAATTTATATGGATATTGTGGGCGATATGGGAAATCTACTCGCAGATCCCGATTATGCATGCGTTATTGAATATAAATAGCATATTGAACAGGCTGTGTGAGAATGAGATGTCAATTAATGCATTGAAATCCATGCAATTTAGCCATTTTCCGGATTTCGCCAGTTATTTGCAAAATAAACTGTAGGTATAAATCGGAAAAATGCTCCATTTCAGATGCTGAACACAAAACCCTCCCAGAAAATTACATTCTCCTTTTTGCATTTTCTTTTTGCTACAAGGTGTGATTAAACCGCATCCTTACTGAGTTGCACTCTTACTACATTTAAATATGCAGAGTAGAAAATCAAGCTAAAATTTCATTCATAAAAGTAAGAGATATTGCTCGAAGATGCAAGAGAGATAAAAAACTTTTTCCAATCAAATGCATCCTATATAGTATTCGCTTGCCGCATTATCAAACAACGAACCTTTGGGTGCCATTCTCCAGCAAGCCAATCGCTCGCAGTTTCTACCATCCCATGGTGCTTGACAGATGCACTCGATCTGTTTGGAACCGATCGCAATTGTTCCATTATGTTGACATGCATTTGGAGTACAACTAAATTAATGCTCAAATTTATCAATCCTTCACGACAAAGAAAATATCTTCAACCACAGCAGATCCAGATCACGAAACAGCGACAAGATAAGCAACGTTTTGGTGATGAGCTCTGCGTAAGTGATAAATTCGGATGAACAAGGTTTTTAAATCAGTTGGAATGGGTTAGAAAAAGGTTACGGCATGAAATGAGAAAACCGATGAATTAAAGTTGGGAATCGATAGATTTTTCCGGGGATCACTGATCCATCAACCGCTTTCGGTTTCTGCCGTTGGCTACTGAAAGCTAGTCTTTTTCGGTTTGAATCAATGGCCAAAATTTAGTCATCGATGACACCAACTAAAATTAGAGGGCCACCGACCCAATTCTATAATATCCGTAAATATCATGGGCATACAATCCGTAAACGTTACAGTACACTTTTTGCAAACAACGAATACTGTTTTTGTGAAAGTCAAACATGAACGTTCAGAAAATACTAAGAAGTAGTAGTAAATAAGATCCAACACGCTGTTGTAAAGAGAGAAGCCGGCAGGACATCCGTTGTATTCGTTACAATAAGGTCCTTTCCAACCGGACTTACATTCACATTTGCCATCCACCATACGACCATGCACTAAAGACCATTTTTTTACAAACGGTTAATTGCACGTATTCATTCAAGACATATATTTTGCAGTATCCGAACCTGAACAATTACTTTCCGACTGATTAGTCGAGTGCTTGCCACATCTTGATTGGAAACATAACAAGATAATGGCTATATGCCGTCTCAAAATGTAATGAAGTATGAAATGAGCAATATAAAATCGTTCAACATGAACACTGCTTGGGTATCTGCTTAGCAGTGTCTGTCACGACATGCGCTATATAAAGGAGCCTTAGACTATCAGTTGAGAAAAACAGCTGAATCCTTCAGAATACTTTAACAGAAGGTTATCGACTCACATAATACGAAAATATACCCGAAACTTTCAAATAAAACAAATGAACAACCTCGCAGCGTTCGACATTTGATCTCTTCGTACTCAGCACTGACCTCACCACCACCGCTTTTCGCTTCTTCATACTTGTCACATTTCTCGAGGCTGCCATCAACAATACCGTAACCATAATAAGAGTCAGCACTACACCCTTCGGTGATTAAATTAAGTGCGATCAAATCCACATAAGCATCGTCCTTATCCTTGTGCCGTTGTTGACCAAGAGCCGTCACAGATAGATAAAGCAGTAGTAAAGCTGTGACTGAGATCATCCTCAAAATTAATTTTTCAATGAAAATCTCAGTTAGAACGATCGTTTCATTCATTCGGTTCGTAAATCTTCGCGTTTGTAGCATAAGGAAACGGCAATAATCCTCTCATTTTCTTGACTACCATTCCAAACACAATCTTCCAAAGGCTTAAAGTCGCTAGATTTATCACTAGAGTAGAAAGCAAATGATCATCACTCTCATAATCATCACAATTATGATTCAACAATCACGAGGATTTATTTCACAGTGAATGAGTAGAACCAAACGCTGTGGTGTCAGTTGTTGTTTTTGTCTAGTGAAAACAGCTGATTGATAAGAGATCGATCATAGAATACGAATTGTAACCGTTGGGTAAGATTTCATATGTGAACATTTCATATTGCTCACGATCGTATGAATAAGACAAGAATAATATCACGTTGACAAGCCATCTTAAGTTGTTGTTGCGAACAAACATGAGTTGGTGTAATGAATTCTCTGATTTTCAAGAAAAAAAGAGAATTCAATTGAAAGACTGAGAGAGGAACAATGCATGGTCGACGCCCAACAAATTTTAAAATTAAGCAAGTCAACAAAAACAATTGCTTGGATGTCTATTTACCACTGAGCTGCACCCAACCATTTTCCGATTTAATGAAATTGCTTTTCAGCATTCTCACTTAATTGAACGTGAAATTGCTCAACGGTCTGGTTCATTCCACGAATTGAAATTCATCGGGAAGTTTTTTGAATTTTCATCAACTTAATCAAATACTGAATATAAATACGATCAAATTATACTGAATATAAATTCCATTACATTCATTTCTCATCAAAACGCATTCAGCATCAGAAGATTGCTAGCCCTCAAATTCAGTTCCGTTTGCAGAAGGGATTTTCCGATTACTGCCTTAATAATGCTATCCTACTGAAGGGATTGGATGTTCTATAAATCATCGTATTCTCAGCCAACAGATTAACTTTCAGGAAATTTGACCGAGTGAAAGAATCTTTCTTGTAGCTGTTCATCAAACACGAGTAATTTAGTAGAAATGGAAACAACAAACATTTCAACAGACACTCAATTGCTCACCGAAACGCCTTGCCCAAATAAGTTGTGCTATTCACTGAAATAACTTTCACAGATGATAATCAAACTTCGCGAGCAGAATGTTCTCTAATGCATGAACAAATTCATACATTCATAAAATGTATTCATTGAAAATGTATGAGTTCCATCACAACAGAAAGTAATAAAATACCAACATCAAAAATCAGGTATCCGCCAGTTTTACCACTCCTTAGCAGTGTTCTATATTCGATCTAACAAACAAACTTTCATCTATGATCATAATTCAAAGAATACTGCTTAATTCCTTCAGTACCCCGAAAACATGCATACACATTTCATAATCAATCCGATACTAAATTTTAACTGATTGCAATAAATGTGTGCAAATTAATGATCGTTATCATTCGGTGATTAATCCACTCGAACGTAATATTTTCAGATGCAGATCTGTATTGTATTTCAGATGTATATTTGTTTTATTGTACAGCAATTAACAGATAGCGTTGGAAATCCTTGGAAACATCGCGCGATGAACGATTCGGTTTAGTGTTTTCTTTTTCGCAAAGATTAGAGTTGCTCACATTCATAAACAGAAAATATCTCTTCATGAACTTTTCATGAAGAAAAATCCCTGGAAATTCACGCATAAAGATATAGGTGCGATCGAATCTCACTCAAAGTTGCGTTGATAATTCAGTAAACGAAGAGAACTTTTATCATGAGACGAACGAACTGAAAAATAATACGAGCGAATTCGAACTGATAGAAACAAAACAATTTGAATGAAAGACCATGAGAGCAAATAGCTGAAATAATATGAACAATGGTGAAATAAACCAAAGAGAAGAAGCAATTTATGATATTAGTTGTGAAGTGCACTGAAAATGCAAAATGAAAAATGAGAAAAACATTGAAAGCCAATTTGGTAAGATTTCAAAAATCCCTTTGGGAAGCGAAGAAAACAAATGGAAATTTACTATTCTAGAAAGCTGGTAAAAGAGAGAAACTCAGTGAAACGTTTCATCAATGGAATGAATCATTGGTTGTTAGGTGGTTAGATTTAAGCGGACATTAGTCGATCTTGTGAGCACTGGGTAAAAAAGAGGCTTCAAGTAGAATGAATGAAGAAAGGAAAAGTGAATGAGCGAACGAGTGACAATGGATAAGATGGCAACATCGTTCGTTCGTCCCGTCTCGTCCTGAACGAGATGTTTTTTTGCTATGATGATGTGCATTCGTGCATTGTCATGCAACACAGTTTTTAGCATCACGTTATAACCATCCAAATCGGTTTTCGACAACAAATATATTGCAAATTAAAGTCATAAAAGGGAGAAGAACTCAAGTTTTATCATTAATCATTCAAGATTAATTGTGCGGCTTGTTTAAAAAACAATTTTCATAGAAAACATGGACACTGAGCGATAACCTCACAGAAAAATTGTTGCAAATTAAATTTTGCCATCATCATCACAATCAGTATGTGATCAATTTCTGCGACAAGCTGACACCAGCGATGTTTAAAAGCACAAATTTGACCGTTATAATATTTATCGTTCTGTTCTATTCATAAACTAGATGGAGCTTTAATTCACCCATCAGTTCCTTTCAAATTGTTCCACTACGCTAGTTAATCTCAAGCTTGAAATTCATATCTCTTTGTGCCTTATAGTTATTCCGTATTGATCCTTTCCATCCACATTCACTACCCCTGAATTCAATAGGTAATAAATTTTACTTTTTTTATAGTTGGATTGCGAAATATTGATTTATACTAATACACTGACGTTCCACTGGAATTTGCAGACTGAATTTCTCATTCACTCATACGTCTTCTGGGATAACATGTCCCAATTTCTCAGTTTCGAATCAAATTCTTACATCAACAAATTCAAAAACATTGATCATATATATATATATATATATATATATAT